TTTTAATTTTAATTTCAATAAAATTGATTATTCAAATTACAAAATAAAATGAAGTATAAATATTTAATAGCTGAATTTAATTTAAGCAAATGATGTAGATAATATAGCCTTGATAATAAAATTCAAATTAATTTAATTTAATTTAATGCATGGAAATAAAATTAGTACAATAATATTAAAAATAAAAAACTGTCTTTTTTTCATAAAATAAATAATTGTGTTGAGGAATTGATAAAAAAATATTTCTGAGATGCAGGGCCATTCAAAAACTCAAAATTAAAAATTTGTATAATTTGAATGACCCTGCATACATTTTTTAAATTTAAATTAATTTTCTGTTAACATTGAACTGATGGATGAAGTTTGAAGAATTCATAATCAAACATTGAAATATAAATTGAGTATTATTTCATTTTATTTTAAGTATGGAATGATATCCAACCCGTAGTTGAACATCTTGCTATATATTGCAGCTCACCGGAATGTAATTCATATTGATATTCTGTAAAAATGTAAAAATTATTTATTTTTAAATATTATCAATCACCTAAGATAATTTTATATTCTAACCTAATCTACCGCAAAAATCACTAATAAATATTATGTTTTATGCAATTTGACATAAATCATTTTAAAAGTCTCTGGGAAATCCATAACTAATATATGATCATTGTATTATATTATAAGGTTATGTTAAAGACCTGTTAACTAGTACAAGCACCCTTTTCCATTTTATTACTAATAGTGAACAACAAAACCATATTTAGAGCATTCAAGAAACAAAATTGATTTACATCAATTAATTTACAGTGATCATAGAAATGAATACATAGTTTTTCAACAAATAGAGTTTCAGTAAAGTACAAAAAACAATTGATCAAATAGTATTCATAATTCAGTGCAATTATTCAATATGATTTTAGTACGAAATATGTCTTCATATTTAACACTCATTTACTGGATAGAATATAATATGCAGGTATAAATCACGTGCCAATTAAATTTAATTTAATTTGTAAAAATCTARAGTTGCTTTTAGTAATTTTAAGAACTCTATATCTCGTAACAAATGTTATCCCAGTGCTAGGGTTGCCAGATATTCAGTGTTTCTCGTGTTGTGGCTACCATATTGTCGTATTTACATACAAAATATAATATAAAAAATATAAACTCCAGTAAATGTAATTAAACTTTCGATTTATTGTAAGTTATGGACAAATTTAGGTTTGTCAATTTATGAAATGAGAAATTAAATACATAATGACAACGAAAAGTTTTAAATTATTTAAATTTATTTTAAGTAAAATTACATAAATATATTTACTAAAAGAAATTATACCAAAATAAATTATATTATGTGTTTTGAATTTAATATAAGAATATTTAAAACAAATATTTTTACTTAGTGTACTGAGTGTTTTTTAAGTACTTCATCATAAATGTGGCATTTTAGAAAAAATGAAATGTTCCACACGATCTATATCATCTATAGCAGCTTCACTTCCTTTTAATGTTGGGAGATAWCGTCTTAATATTTTGATAGCATTAATTGCATTGGATAATGATTCATTTTCACCAGTATCAAAATCTTCATCAATATCATCTTCTTCAGCAATATTAACTAAGTCTTCACTACTTAGTACATATTTGTGCTCAATGGTCATTAGATTTTTTCCACTAGTTTTTTTCAAATGTGTTGAAGTGTTTTTTATTGATCCCATTGGTTCATTAGCAGTATTTTCAATTACTTTATTAGAAAAACAATCAATTCCAGCTTTTTTAAAACATTCAGCAATTACCTGTGGCTGTATGCTACTCCATGCTGCAGTTATATGACGTAGTGCATTTAATATTATGTTAAGCTGCTTAATGTCTGAATTTTTCAAGACATTTAGATGGTGCTCTTCATAGTAATGTTTCAAAACATTGATCACACCTAAATTCATAGGTTGAAGATTCTTTGTAATGTATGGTGGAAAAAATATTAATTCCACATTTTCCAACACAATATCTTTTTGAATAGTGGAACTATTGTCAACAATAAGTAAAATTTTACGATTATTTTTTATCATGGTTTCRTCTAATTTTTTGATCCAAAAACCAAAATGTTCATTATCCGTCAATGTAGTATCTTTAACAGAATACTCACATGGGAAAGATTCATTATCAATGAAACGTTTAGGTTTCAATGGTTTTCCAATTACAAGTGGATTCAATTTTTCTGTTCCATCAGAATTAGCACAAATAAGTACTTTGAGAAGTTCTCTGCTAAGTTTATTTTTACAACATGTTCTAATGCGTTTATTTTTAAAATGAAGTAACTTGTTGGACATTAATTTGTAACATAACTCAAATTTAGTAGCATTAAAAATGTCTTTTGAAGTATATTTTTCTGTAAATGTAGGTAAAATGTTCAAAAACCAACAATTTATATCCTCATCATTTACTGGATTACATTTTCTAGTGACTGAGCGGTAACAAATGAGGTTCCGTTTCTTAAATCGATCCAACCATCCGTTTGTTGCTTTGAAATCTGTGATTTTTAACGATTTGGCAATTTTTAATGCTTGACGTTGAATAATAGGACCATTAAGAGGCGCAGAACTCGCATACTTTTTGTTAATCCAATGTATCAGAATTTGTTCAAGATTATAATACTTCCCATGTTTTATTTTCTTCCGCTTGTTTGATCCTTCAATAGCACGTTTTTCTATTTCTTTTCTTTTGACAATAATTGTTCGTAAAGTTGACTCTGATATATTAAGTGATTCTGCTAACTTTGTTTTTTCTAATGAAGGATTAGAGTCATATTTGTGTAAAATTGATAACTTATCAGTGAGACTAAGCGCTTTACGTGATATTTTTAAACTCATTATGCCGYAACACTTACTCAAACAAATGACAGCTGAAGATTCTATACTAACACACAAATCATAAAAAACAAGTACTAGGGGAACACATTTATGATTCAAAATACATAAGATAACATTATATTATTATAATGTAGGTACTAAACAAGGTTTTATGCTAAAACTATATTAAGATTATAATAATAAAATGTGGGGTTAAAGTATTACAATAAACAAGCATATTAAACTAGGTACTGCAACATAAATGTGTATAAACTTGCAACCTAAAATACAAAAACTAAAGAATAATAAGAATATTATATTTTGACAAAATTAAGTTATATACTTACAATAAAAATTATTTTGATGAAAAATTAGCCGTGACGTAATGGTAGAGAACAACTAGAAGAAATAAGCCGACACCCAATACATTGGCAAATACAGCTAATTGAACGTCTGTAATCATTCTAAAAATTAAAAATATTAAATAATAACAATATTTTTTACAAAATACTTATTTAATAATATTTACCGAGTATAATAATAATAATTTACAATGTAGCCCAAAATTGTAACCTAATGGCCTATGTAGTAGCCAAGGGTACATTTTTGTTAATAATAAAAAAATAATAATAATTTTCGCATTTATAATATTAAAAAATATCCATTAACTAATAGACAGTATAATTAAAAAATCAGAAAAATCAAATTATTTAATCATTCCAATATCAATCTCAATTAGTAAAGAAAACTGCAATCATTTAAGCCGGCATCCAGAAGAAAAACATTTTTAAAACATAATCCATTCATAATATATTTTATTCTAATGAATAATTCTTATCCTAATTCTATGAGCAATCAATCATTAGACACAAACAATTTAAATTTGTCAAATTCTTAACAATAATTATACTTATTATAGTAGAAATAGATACATCAATTATGCACAAAATACCTACACTTGAWAGTATTATAGTAATCCATTGTTATCAATTGTCATATAATATCCAAACAAACTAACTTTCCATAATAGCGAGTGTAGAGACAAAAGAGAGAGACAAGTAGTAACAGCATAAATTATTTATTAGGTGCTTCATGTCATAGCCAATTGGTCATACTTAGATTGAAATGTGATACGATCACGACACATTACAAAAAATTTGGTGAATAATATTCTGTATTAAATGTTAATAACATTCTAATTACAAATGTATCTTGAAAAACTATATTAGTAGTTACTAATTAGTATTTTGCGAAAATGTGAAATAATCATAAATTTKAGGGCCAAATACTTACATAGGACAGCGACGTGTCTCGTATTTGTTCGAAACTCCGGGATTATTGACAATTCCAAAATTTATTTTCGTCGGAGATCTTTTACCGGCCGACCACACAAACTTCACGACAGTGTACWCACTATTCAGTGTCTTGCTGTTTCGGTAATGATTTGATTTATTGATATGAATATTTTGATAAACGCCAACCGGTATCCACAAAAAAATTAATTTGGAATATTTTGAATTAGGTTTTCACATGACAAATGACAAAATGGGTTTTCAATATTGGATTGTTGTCGTGTTAAATGTTGAATGTTGATGAGTGATGACGGAGCCGGATTTGATAAGAACACCATCGATCATGGAATAAAAAAATATAACAAGAAAAGTGCTTATCACCACCACGTCCTTATCAATAATATTAACAACCACGAGCACCATAGAGTAAACAGTATAGTAAACACCATAGTAGTTAACAGAAGCAAAGACCATAAATGACGTTAGTACTCGGTAGAAACTCCAATTAATATAAATATATCTTAATTTGTGGCCTTGTGGGTAAAATCATAGTTTATAAATACTAAAAATTGTATTAAAGAAAGCTCATAATATTTTAAAATATTAATATACTTCACGGACGTATATACGTCCGTGATATACTTCGATTGCTCATGTTAAAAATAGAAATGAAAATAAAATAATTTCGCACTTAAACATAACACTAATAGATGGCGCAATGTGTATTTCTGTAGTYCCGAACGTGACACTAATTTTCCACTGATAACGACTCGTGACCAGTCCTGTAACGAAAGAACGACTTTTTATTATTTTACGATCCGGATTGTTTCGTTCACAGGTTTGGGTAATGAACGGGTCGTTCATTTATCATTTTGAACCGTTCGTTCGCGTACGACACCTCTAGATTCAATATAAACTAAAAATTTATTTTTAAATTTATTGTACGTCGAGTCGTCGACTCTGGTGATAAATTTTTTTGTGTATTTTGAATATTATATTWTATGTTCTTTCGTCAAATAGCATTGTAAGCTATGGATCATCTGCATAATATATTGGAAAACACTTCTGGTTATGTCAGACCAGGGAATCAAGTTGATGTTGATTCATTTTTATCTGCTCGTAATCAAGAAATACAAGCTTTGCTCAAAGAAATACGTAAGTCATTCAATTGGCATACAATTAAAATTATAGCTGCTAGCCTATAGCTTTTACGTATATATGGTCTGTAAAAGTTGTATGCAATAATATTGATAAAAAATCATTAAGGTAGTCAAAGCAAAGTTAACTATCACAAACCTACTAATCAATAAGTACTAAAAATAAATTATGTTTTTATTTTATAATACATTAACTCATTACCTATATAGGTATTATTTATTTATTAAATTTWTGAATTTTTTTTATAATTTTAGAGACCCCAAAAAAATGCAATAAAATGATATTTCAACGTCTTCCTAAAAAAATGCGTCGTCGAGTCATGAGCACAACTGTAAAACGAATGCCTAAAGATTTAAGAATTGCTCATAAAAAATCTGTACTATAAAAATATAGCACTTTGAAATTATGTATATTGTATTCAACATTTTGTTTAAATTCTATGTAGATTGAAAAGCAAATCAATAAGCATGTGAGACGTAGAAAACATTATAGGCGCAAACCCAAAAGTCGTTGTTTGGACTATTTGAGACGTCAAAAAAATGGAAAATGGCTAGAAACTCATGTATGGTTTGCGAAACGGTTTCATATTGTACTTAAGGATGGATATAAATTACCTAAAAGCTCTCATGATAAAACTTATCGAGCCTGTTACAGGGCTATTGGAAATCACTGTTTAGCTCAGGTAAAATACCAATATAACATATTATTATTATACTTATAACTATACTATGACTGTACCTACTCATGTTTTTTATTTTATTAATTTAGGATGTATCTTACATTAGTTGTATTGAACTAAAAGGACCCTATAATCAAATAATAGAAGGCTTAATGCAGCATGTTAATCAAGATTGTGGACGTACATTTAAAGCCAAATGTTACGAACAAGGAACTAGAGAAGGATCAATTTGCATATTCAAAAATGGTACATATCCTTGTGGAGCTATCGGTAGGGTGTCATTTATTTGGGATACTTGTGTTCAAGACAAAATAAGAGCTGTGTGGATTTGGGCAGAACCTTCAATTTATGCTCAGCTAGCAAAAGAGTTACAAACTACGTTTAATTTAAAGCCAAATAACATAGATATTTTAGAGTCTGAACCTCCAGTTCTAAAAAAGCCTAAACTTTTAGAAATTACAAAAAATTCAAAGAATATTGCAACTCCTGCGGTACAGACTCCTACTTTTGTTAATAATACTATGAAAATGACTTTATTAAAAGGTTCTTTGAATAGGCTAAGACTGACAGGACCATTATCAAATAGTGTTTTGAGTCGTGTACTATATCCTGCTGATTTGGTTAATTCAAACAATTGTATTGATGAAAACTGGTGGTCATCGCATTTGAAAAATCTAAAAAGTTCTACTAATATTCAAACAAAACTTTGGGAATCTTTAAGTGGAGCTGATAGACCAGAATCATATCCAACAAATTGTGTAATTGGATTTCATACAATTGATCCACGGTTGGTGTTTCCAATGAAAAGAACAAAAGCTTTGCCTATTTCTAAAGGTTTTTAAATGCTTATTTATAAATTAATAAAATGCATAAAAAAATAATTTTTTTTAAATGTTTGAATTTTAGATTTTCTACTTGAAGAGGACTATTCTTTTAAACTTCCCACAATAGCAAGTGTTTCTAAAATTTGGGATTCAAAGGTTCGAAATTGGTCCATGCAGAATAAGATGCCTAATTGTGARATAAATATGTTACGCAGTAAATGTGTTATTAATGGAAATGACAAAATTGCATTGGATGAACACTCCATGTCTATTATACCAATTATTTTAATTCAGCGACCTGGACAGCATCATCCAATTACTAGACCAGGTTATTTGATTAAATTTAATATATTTTACWATTAATTTATTTAACCAAAAACTGATTTTTGTTTTAGGTTACGGTAGTGGATGGGATATTATCTTACCAGCTAGATGGGCAATGCCATTTTGGTTAGGTTTAATTATGAACGGATGTCAACCTGGAGGACTAAGAGAAACTACAACCATGATACTAGAACGATGTTTACCCAGACAAGACGAACCAGATACTGATGCTGGAAACCTGAGAGCTATGTTAGAAAAAGAAGAAGCAATGAAAAAACACTTTAAACTTCCTCCACAAATGAGAGTTAATTACATTAAGTTAGGTTTTCAGACTCCATTTCATTGTCCTTGGGACATCCTCTGTAATGAATGGATGTTAGACTCTAATAATAAATTTGTTTTACGAAATATCAAAGTATTAACTAAACTACAAAATGTAATTTTAAATTTAAAAGGAAAAATTTATGTGAAMAATTTACAGTCTGAATTTGCTGACTTACAAACTTGTTTAGTACCCATAAGGCTTGAGTTATCGCAGAAAGGCATTTTGAAACCTAATTCACATGTATGTTTACCAACTCGTGATGACTTGAGTAACATTGGAGACAAAACTAATTTGGGTCCTTTAGAAAAAATGCACAAAGATTTGAATGCCTTCAAACGTAAGATTTATCGTTTGGAACATAAAAAACTCTTGAGATCCCTGAGACGTAAACGTGTATTAGAAAAGAAAAAGAGAAACATTCTCTGCAAACGATTTAAACGGAAGGTATCCCCTACATCACAAATAGTCAAGGAATACTTGAATCAAATGAAAAAGTTGTGGATTCCTGAAGAACAAACGCCCTTAAAGCAAAGTTGCAGTCGTGTAATTTTGGGTTTCTCGTGTCATAGTCATTTTAGTTTTACCAATTCCAGATATGTTGGCATTGGTTACATGCCTGGACTTGCACTATTGGAGTTATTTAATCTCTGGTCAGATTCAAAAACAAATTTACCATATGTACTAGTCCGAAATCCCAGCACTAATCAGTATAGGTATGCTTTTCTAAGTATAACAATTTAGTATAGAAAATAATGTTAGGCATCTCTGTAATAATACTATATTATTAATTAATCATTTTTAATAAAATGTTTAAATTAGTTTAATTACATATAAAATAAATATGATTTATAAAAAAATGTATGTTTTGCTATAATACTCTTTAATCTTTATACAATATTTTATTGTGCTAATACTACTCCATTATTGTTTAGATGGTACTTTTCCTACTAACTTATCCATGAGAGCAAGGTTTAAAGTGCTATAGATATGTATCGTATGGAGTGGGTAGGGCTGACAAGTGTTACCATATAAAACGTCAATGGTCCTTTATACTTCATAGTGTGAAATATGAATAGAGTAGTTAAAAAAAAAATATTAACCTTATGTCTAGGTTCTAGTTGGATTAACTTTATCAGCAATAGACAACATTTGTTCGACTTCAATAGAAAATATTCTAAAAGTGTTGATTGTTGTTTAAACATTGTGGTCAGTAGAAAAGTCAAAAATATCTGTGACTTAGTTTCCCAGCCAAGTTTACTTTACAGTAAAGGATGAATCATAACACTCAAWTTTTTTCCTAATCAACATAAATGTTTTCATTTAGAAAATCTAGATAGCAAATTGTAAATTCATTTTAAAGTAATTTTAGATTCWGAATGGAGTGATGAAGGTATTAATTTTACAATGATGTGTTTTTTCTTTTTTTTATGTCTGTGTACTGTGTACAGCATAWCTAGTCGAAATAATGCTTCAATTTCAAACTTTGGGGGTAGTTTCCGATGGAAAAGTGAATATCCTAGTTGCATTATAGAGATCWAAAGTAAACATTTTCCAACAGTTTTCAAAAAAATCGAGAAAAACCAAAAAAAAGTGACAGAAAAACGGGAATTTTTACGCAAAACCAGTTTTCGACCAAATTGATTTTTTTAGATGGTTGTAATTCAAAAACTAATCACTGCAAATACTTGAAATTTTCACCAAATGTTTATATTAGTTTTAGTTAGTTAGTTAAAAATAAATTGGATGATCAAAAAAACTTGAAAATTTAATACAAGGTTCCTTATGAGTTGCTCTTATTGTAGCAAAAAAAAATTAAAAATCGTYAGTCACAATTTTATTTTATTTTATTTTTTTTATTAATGAATACCCTCGGCAACATGGGCCATTGGGTTTAATGTGAGAAATTATTAATATAAAGGGGGA